TTATAAATTTAATGATATAATAAATGATAAATAAAATATCTATGTTTTAATAATATTTATTTCATACAATATCTATAATAAATATAAATATTTAATCAAGACAMTTTAATTAAAGGCTAAATTAATCAAAAGGKATAAACTACCCTTTGCTAAAATCAATGAATTTTATGTGTAGGTAAACATTAATTTTATAAGTAATATAAATTTACAATCATTTCTTGAAAATGCATTATATGTTCAATGTAGGTAAAATATTACACTATAGATACCTCCATAGTTTAATTAAATGTAATTACAATAAGTGTATTTGAATTTAAAAAAAAAAAGATTACATTTTACATACTTTATGAGAGGCTTATATAAATATTAGTGAATAAACAAAATTTCAAAATCTTTTATCATTGTATACATAAATTAATAATTTACTATGAAAACAAAATCAAATTAATGTACATAATATAGTAAGTAAACTTATCCAGTAATATACTTAATTGTTTTTAAAAAATAGTTGCTTACACATAAAAAACCTTTGTTAATTTAACACACTAGGAAATATAAATATAATTTAAAAATACATACAAGTTATGACCTTGACATACACTTAAGATGAGAATTCCACTTCTTGTCATCATTGCATAATTGTGTTACAATTTACAATGATTATTCTATGGTCTCAGCATATTTTCTCCATAAGCCTATACTAAATAATAACTTGCATCACTATTACTTTTATGGAATATCTATGATTGTTTTACATAAAAATATAGTAGAATATCGGTAATCTGATAAATATCAGATCATGTTACTGCCGGATTAACAAAAACGTCATTATTGTTACATAACTTATGAATAAATAAATAATAAGATATTATATTAAAATAATAATTCTTTTATTTTATATATTTTAAGACAGATATATAATTATAATTGATGAATTGACAACATTTCAAAATGCTTTTGTTGTATTTTAAATTAATCAATGATTTAATATGAGAATAAAACCAAAGAAACCGACCAACTTACTGAAGTGTTGGACTCACCAATTATTTTGAGCACTTATTGTTATATTTGTATATCATATGTATATAAAAAAGTAACAATCAAGTAAAATAGATAAAAAAATTAAATTTTTAAGAAAATAAAAATTTAATTAAATCTTATGAAATAAGTCTTATAGAATAAATAGAAATGTAGTTTTTATTTGTATTATTTGAAGAAAATAATAATGAAAAGTATTAAAACATTTTTTGATAAAACATAAAGTTAAAGTAAATTAACGATTGTTACAATGCTCTATGTTTGTCRTATAATAATTAATAATAATAAAAAAAAGGTGACCCTTGACCAATATTAATGGGCCATGGGGGCACATTACACAGCAATACGGATGAAAAGTGAATAAAATCATTTCAATAAATAAAACACTGTTTTAAGTGCAAACTCATGAGAGAATTTATGACTAAATGTTTAATATATAGGCCATAGGGTACCAAGTATTAATTAATTAATTGTAAAATATAATATAATTATAAGGATATTTTTATTGAAAATAATTTTAATTTCATCATCAATTATTTTAATGAACATTACTTATTCTACATTACGGGAAGGATCATAATCTGGGAACATTAAGTGGTTAGAAAACTCTGTTAAATCAGGAACACCTCGTACTTCCTTTTCTAATAATGGAAGCTTAGTGACGTGGACATCAAAATACAAATCATTTATCTAAAACAAAACAAAATAGTTATGATATATACTGTATTTATTATAATATATCATATTTTTACCTGTGCTAGATAGGTGCGCTGTAATTCCTTTCTGGAAGAACACTTTTTACAATTGGGATCTGAATCTCCATTGTTTGTGTATAATTGATTAACAACAATATTATGGCAGTCAATTTCATTTTTGTTTAATTCTTGAAAAAGCCTTTCTGTTTCATACAACGACAAGAACTCAGCAATGCATACACAAATGAATGTGGTTTTATTCTAAAACAAAATACTTATAAATTCATTCTGATCGTTTTAAAAATATTTTATATTTCCTTACATGATTTTTGAATTGTTGATTAACAGTTTTAATGGTACTCAACAATTCTTCAATTTTTTGTGCTATATCTTCTAGATTAATACCAGATCCCAAATGCATACTTATTTGATTTAGATAAGGACTTATTCTATCTTTGAACTCCAAAATTTTTCCTAAAGCTTTTTCCAACATAAAAGGAAATGTTAGTAGTCTTAAAGTATGTCCTGTTGGAGCTGTATCAAATACAACTACTGTGAATTCCATACTCTTAACCAACCTAAAATCACATAAATATTAAAAAATGGTTGTCATGCTGCCTTGATAATATATTATTACAATAAAGTACAAATATGCAATACAATTTAACAACAAAATTTTCATAACTTGAATCCAAAAATACTGTCTTAAAAAATCTATTCTAAACGTAATCAATTGTTTATAAAAAAAAAATTATGGTTTTGTTAAATAAGTTAATGAGTAGAATTTAAATTTGAATACATTAACTTATCTACTCAGGTTAGCTTATAATATGCTAAATAAGCAAAAATGTATAGATTGGATTTTATGATTAAAACAATAAAACTTTTTAGAGTAAATTAATTTAAACATTTTTTAATTTTCATGCTATAATAGAAGCTTTTTACATTTATTTCATACTTTAGTTTTTTTGGGCATATCTCAGTTTTTATTTTATAAGAAATAGAAATTTATACGACACTTAACAACATTGATTAGCTTATGTGATATTCCATATAGGTTTCATACACATTCAACTTATTTTTATAAAAGCCATTGCCTTAAAGTTCTGATACAATAGTAGTTTCAAAACAAGAACTTCATCATACATTTTTCAATATTTAAATAAATAATTTTGAAATACAGTGAAATCATATCTGAATTCATAATAATACATTTATATGTAGGTAGATCATGTGAAATACAAATCTCGTGGTCTATTAATTTGTCATTGTATTAAACAAAAAATGTTGCAACCAATGCCGATTTGATCATTTAATAAAACATTATTTCCTATTAGGATATTCAGTTTTTATTTATAAGTCTTCAAAAGGTCTAATATTTATTTTATTCAGTGTGTTATTTAAATATTTACAATTTACATTATTGCAATACCAAAATTTATTTTTWATCAAGCTCAATTAATAGTAAAATATAATGTTACACCTATTTATATCTAGAGTTAGTTTAATAGTAAATGTTTGCAGCGGCATATGTGGGAGTAGGATTGTGTTAACTCTACTCCATTACAATTTTTCCCTTCTACAAAAAAAAGAAAAAATAGTATTTACCATCATAATTAATACACAAAATAAATTAATTGTAAATAATTTTTAATAGATATAAAATAAATTGTAAAATTGCAATAAAATTAAGAATTTTAGTTTCAGTTGTTTTGGACCGTAAAGATATATTATCAACTAAACCTCTATAATAATAATTATAATAATTATAATCATAATTATTGCAGCACAAAGAGGCTCTAGATTATTATTATTATTATTATTTATACCACAACAATCAAACATAAAATTTAAGAATAACTCTATAATTTATTTTAACCAATTATATAAAAATAGTTAAGCTAAAAAATAATGCAAATACAAGTATACAATTGTTTTGTTCTAGTTTTGAAAACCTATAATATATGTTAAGTAATATGACTTATCAATTGTTTTACAATGTGAATTTATTGAATTTTGACTATCTTATTGTTATTACTTTTAGAATTTTATATTTTTAGATTATTTACACCATATCAGAGTTATTAAAAATATAAAAATAAGCATTCAGAATAGTTTTAACATTTTAATTTAGGTGTATGATTTAATGGGGTATGACATAAACTATGAAGCCAGTATTAATCAGTAAAAATCTTAACCAAACTAAAATCTTGAGAAAATTATCGAATGTTTGTGTAGACTTACTTCATTATTTGAGCATAACTCATGGATTCATCAATACCTGGGAATGCTGATAACATGGTTTTCATAATACTGTTACATAACCGTATTGTATCAGATCCGTCGTTAGGTCCAAATAAAGTTTCATTTTCACCATCAGCATTAGGATCTACTTCCTAAGTAATAAATTTAAACAATACATTTACAATTATTCATATCCTTTATACTAAAATGCTTACCATAGCAAATAAATTATTGAAACCTTCAACTTTAGTAGGTACTTTAGTGAATTGTTGTCCAAAAGCATCGGAAATGTTGTGTGCTGGATCAGTTGATAATATTAGAACTGTTTCGCGGACCTTAGCTAATTGAATGGCCAAACCACAACTGAAATTATTATTTAAAAATTGGAAGACACATTATTAATATCAAGTAGGCATACACACTAATAATTTATTGCAAAATAAGTAAAATCAATGATGTATTTTAGTATGGTACAATGTTTACCTGACAGTAGTTTTACCAACGCCTCCTTTGCCACCGACAAAAATCCATTTTAAGCTATCCTGTAAGATAATGTTTTGTAGACAACCATCAAGTTTATCTTCATCGATAACTTCGTTGATCAAATCCATTTGTAGAAACTTTTATGAATTCCAAAGAAATAAAAAAAAAATGGAGCTTATAAAAGTAACTCAAATTATTATTTTCAAAAATGTTAATTATAATTTACAAAAAAAAAAAAATGAAAATGAAACTCTTAAATGAAGTTTGATAAATAAATCCCACCTAAAAAGGGTGGTTTTGTTTGTAGTCTTGTAAACCAAGGAGATCAAATCCGTCAGTTGTTTAGGCTTTATACGACGTCACGAATCGTGATTTATGTTATCAAAAAATACATGGCAGTCAAATATTTTATATCAAATATATAAATTATCACCGAATAAGGGATACTAACGCGATCTAGGTGTTTAGATTTGCTTTTGTCTGTTATATTACGTATCAACTATACAATAAATAATAATTATGACCTAAGGAAGCTGTTGTAACGAGTGAACGGGGGTGGCATTCTGTAGATACAGTACATTATGCAGTTTTGAACTTTTCCTCGGGCAGCTGCCGGCTGCTAAATACTGAATGAAGAGCCGCAGTAAATTTTGCTTACATACAATTATATTTACGCAAATTATATACATTAAACATTATGATTGAATACAATTTTTGTATTTTTTTTTAGAAAATATGTGGAAACGTTGGGGGCCCAAATAACTAAATGACAAAAAATCAATGTTGTATTTTTTTATGACAGTAATTAGCATGTGATGACCTTGAATTTATATAATCCCTTTGAAAACGTTCACCAAAAAGCCTTATTTTTTTTTAAAATATTCTATTGAGAAATGGGCTGGATTAATCTCATGCTGCTCTTGGAGCTAGATTCTACGCACGTGGCACGTCTATGATAAAACTATGATGAGGACTTATATATGGGGATTTTCTAGCAAAATAGACACGGGTGTATACAGGCAGTCTACACTAGACCACTCCTAAGTCACTCGTTCTACCTTCTTAATTACCTAATTGTAATAATGACAAAACATAATAAGGTACTATAAATAAAATRTAAGTATAAATGTAAAACAATTTTAAATTATATTYTACTCTATTTTTTCCTCTTCCCCTTAGAAATATGTCTGGGAACCCCCATGGCTCCCAGGAACAAAGTGATATGAATGCTTATATTGCACGTATAAATACGTACAAATAGAGGGTAAGGCAATGGAAAAAAATTACCAAAATTCCTATGTCAGGAGGGAGGAGGGAGTCAACGAGACGCCTTTAGATATTTACCAAGTATAACATTATGTCTTCAATGGATGAAATTTATGCCACAAAATGATTTAATTATGAAAATGCATTACAATAATATTGAAGAGCGTTAATTTGTTTGTCCTGTTCCTATAAACATCGATGAATAACTAATAAAATGATTGTACTGGTCTGTTATCGCCTCACCAATTACGAACCATATAAAACGCATTTTTTTATTTATACCTACGACAATTATTGCTATATTTTATTAGTTCAGGTAATTTTACTTAGCAGTATGTCCAGTACGTATAAAGCTCTGTTCGTATCAATCGTATCAATGTTGAAGTATTTATTGCAGTAGTTGAAAAATGAATTCAAAAGATTTGTATTCCGAAGTCTCTTATGAAGATTAATATTTTCTCCAAACGAAAAATGTTTTGTTACAAACTTAAAAGTGTGAAAATCGCCATAATACAGTAATTATTATTATTTTATTTTATTTTATCTATATATTTTTAAATTGTATTACATTTTAGATTTATTTTATATACTTATACATATTTTTTTTTTATGATATAGGTAGTTTTGAAAATAATTAACGAATTAAATCAATTTTTTTCAAATAAATGATTTTTTCTGATATTTCTATACACTATACTCGTATAGTATATATATATTTCAATTTCTATATACCTACGTTTTAAATAGTGTTACCATGTTCATATAATTGGCAGGGCGATAAAATTTTTCGTTCCCGTAGCAAAGCGATAACAGACCAGTACCCAAAATTATTAAAAGTAGGCACTAGTGGAGTCAAAAATTATAAATAGAGGAGTGGTGAAGTCCCCATTCAACTTTTCTTCACCTAATATACAGTTTTAGTATAATTATAAAATATAATTCAAAATAAACGCGAACATCATGGTATCTGGTTAAAGTATATTACAAAATTGTATTTTAATGGTTTCCTGTAGTTGTATATTTTTACAATATAGCATTTTGCATGTGTGTTCGAGGTCTATAAATTGTTATTTTCAATTGTTCAGGATATACGCTTTTGTATTTGTACAGCTGGAATCTAGCAAAGAAAATTTAAAAGCCCTGATGTGACGTTTATACGGTACTAYACTACTACAGGTAGGTGGGTACTATACACCATTCTATAGTTCATTATTTATAATGGAATTCCAAAAAAAGGTCTTCACAGAGGCAGGTGTATCCGAATTAATGCGCAGTTAATATTTCCAGTTGTACCTACCGCATCGAGTACGGTTAGGCCACATTTTTAACAGCCYGATTGAGTGCAAAAAAAATATTCTCATTGTATGCAACGTTGTCAGTTTTCTAGCAACATCGATCCATCTACAAGACCTGACTTCGTTTATAACAAACATTGTTAATCGTTTGTACGATTATAATAATTTATCAAATATTATAGTAAGAATAATCGAATATCTGGTATCTACGCAAAAATTCTACAWTTATAGTGTGAGACTAAACAAAGAAAAGAAGCTAAATGGAGTATTTCAATACCTATGTTAGTTAGTAGGGCCAGTAGGGGCTGTTCAGAGAAACTTTATGTGAACCGAAAACCATATTAATTTATGAAAGATGAATAAAAATAGAAAATGAAACATTGATGTGAAATAAAAAAAACTCATTCTAGATTTTCTAAAGTTAAAAAACTATGTAGATCTTAAATGTAGTGCCTAAGATAAGAAAAGGATATTGAAAAGGAGGTTAAGACTGTTAAAAGTGTATTCATAATTTGAAATGAGTTTTTGAGTATAAACAAACTTGAGTTATTTGTTTTAATGAGTGATTTACGCCAAACAGATCACCCTTTATTATAACTAATCAGTATTCACAAAAAACGTAAACTTGGCACTAGGCCACTAGGTGTATACAATTTGTAGCTGTAATATTGCAGAAGGAAAAATCAAATTTCGGATGAACTACCTATTATTACATTTATACAACAATTTGTATTTGTAAAAATAAGTGTTAAAACGGCCTTCTACAAAAAAAATTTATTTTATTTTGATATTTCATGTTAGATTTCGAGATTAAGATTTGACATATATAATCACAGAATTACATTTTTACTCACTTCAAACCGTTTTGTCGTTAAATTTTTTTTTTATCCGCATCTTATGTAAGTACTATAATATAATTACAATAAATGTTATAATAATCAATGTGCGAACGCTGGCTAATAGCTACCTAGTTAATGCTGAAATTTATAAAATAACAAATGACCCGAACTGAATGTTTAGCATAAATAATATTATAATAAAATTTTATATTGTTTCTGGATTCCTATGAAATTTATTTTACTTCTAAATTTTATAATACGTATAAATTCATTATAATATTAAATAGGTACAGGGATAAATGGATTATTCATAATGTGGGCCTATAATAATTAAGTTTACATATTTCTTAGCATCGAAAATTATTCTAAGTTTATTTAAAATTTAAGAACGTTTTAAATTTAAAAAAAATATTATTATGATTTCCCACTCTTTGMGCCTATATTCAATTAATAAATAAATACCTAGTTAGTATTTTTATGTCAAATATACATTTGGATTTAAAGTACTTATTGACTTATTGTAATTGGTCACGACCTCATTCTATAGCTACAGAATTATTTATTTACCTCAAATACATATTTAAATATTATTTCACAATGTTTTCATTATAAATACCTATTAGGTATTAAATATGATATCAACAACCAATTAGTATAAAAAAAAATTTGGGAAATCATCATTTATGATTCAAGTTAAAAAATGTATGTGAAAGTAAACCTATTATAAATTAAAATATAAAAATTCAGTTTATAATTTAGTATTGATTATATACGTAGATGGTAGATTTAATATTATAAAATTTAATGCGTTTTATTTTAATTTAGTTCTTTGTTTTCATCAATTTTATTAAGTATATTTTGACTGATTCTGTAGAGTACATATGGGGGTCCCCAGGGGGGCACGACGGGATACTTTCCCTCCTTTAGAATTTTAAATTTGTTTTTCAAAGCATTATCTATAACACACCAATTTTGTAAACATAAATTACTTTTAAAATGTAAGCACAACATGTATAAAAAAATATACACTTATTTTTTTTATTAATTTTGCCACTACCTATAAAAATTTTTATTACTACACTTTATCAACTTTCACATTAATATGTATATATTATAATATATTTTAGTTAGGTATTACCTATTATAAGGATTATCAACCTATTCCAAACTTGAGTAGTTTTGGAATACTTTTTTAACGTCCAATCATATTTAAAAAATAATTTCATTATTTTTCCGTCTTTGGTATGGAAAAAGATTGCTTTTGTACCTACTTGTATATATTTCCATACAAAATATTTTATAGTAATATGTTATTTTGTTTTCTATTATTTTTAGGTGGACAGAAATGTTATTTTCCAATTTTGTAGCAATGACAATAAGATATTATTTTGATTCTAGGATTTCCATATAAGAAGTAATAAACCAATCTGTATGTCTATATTTAATAGACTCAATTATACATAAATATATATCCCACCCAAATAGATTTTAGTTGTGCCAATGAAATTGAATATAATTTATAACTAATAGATAGCCAKATAGGTGTGTATTATCCAGCTTATTATAATGTTYATTTATAAACAATGAATTGAAAAAAAAAATTTGTTATTGAAATCTAATAAAAAATCACTAAATCTACTAAAAAAAAGTAATTGAAAAAATTTAGAATTCATTTWTTTCAGTATTACAAATTTTTTTAAGTATTCAAAATACTTTTAAACAGTATTTTACCTAAGCCTGCGGCCA